GACCAGTTAGTGTAACATTAGACTTATGTAATTTTCTTAAGCATGGGATTTTAGGAGATCCTAAAATATCCCTTCATATATGGATATTATGTAATAATGTTTCTCCACAAGTAATAAATCTTGTATGCATTATAAAATCAGAGGCTATACGACTTAACATACCATAAAGATACATTAAAGCTAATAGTGAAATCTTCCAACTAAAAGAAATATTCCTGAAGTTTACAAAATTTTATTTTTTTATTCTTAAAAATAAAAACAATAATTGAGTACAAGTATTTTTACTTTAGTTTTTGACCTATAAATGTTAATTACTAAACAGAAGCAATGTATTTCAATTTTTTTACTTTCAAACTGAGGTTAAATCACAATACTGAAATACATTTACAGAACTATTAAGGATTTTCTATCAAGAATCATGATAAAGCAACTAGATCTTTATCAGGATTCTAACCACGCATCTTTCGCCGGACATGTTGCTAGTTATAGTACTATAGCATAAGTGGAAAACGGCGATATGCTTCTCATTACATAACGTTTTCAAATTAATTAATATTTGCGCTATTTATATTGTGTCATATCTATATGAACATAAATTTATAACAATTTCCCACAGAAATGCAGTATTTGAATTTTGTGACGTAGTATGAAAGTTACACAAAACTATTTTTTGTATCAGCGAAAATATAATTAACATTATTATTATTATGATTAACATATAAAAAGAAGGCTTATTTTTAATGCAATTTCGTCAAAACCTGATTTCATATGAGCATTTAATATATTAAATGCACTTTCTTCAGGATGTAAAAATGCTTTTGAAAAAGACATTAAGCTGAAGAGAAATTTCATATTATCTATAATATCTCTAAGATAAAATCAATAACATCATTAAAAACTCAGAGATGTATCCTAATCAGATATTAATTATAACCACGCATAAGAAAATGAATATTAACTTCTCGCTGTGAAGTGAACACGCTGTGAAGCCAAACAATTACTATTTAAAACAGCTACGTATTCTAAGTATTAAAATTCGAATCTGTAAATATTCTGTTATTCAAACACTATAAAATGTAATACCTTTACTTAATGAATTTCAGCGCCATCTAGTGTCTTACTCTTACATCTTTTAATAATGAACATTGTGTATACTTGCAATAAAGATGTTCCTAAAAAATGAATAAATGAAAAATTTATCCTTGAATTTTAAACAAATATAAAGGAATTTAATCTCTGATTACAATCATAAAACATAACTAAAAACGAATCAAGCAGTAAATCTGAAAAAAAAAAGAGATAATACTATAAAAGAAGTTTGCAGAAATCCTCCAGTGGTGCCCACATCATTTCACTGACTTCTTGGCCCAATTCTTTGCTCATAAAAGATGTCAAAATATTGATCACATCGCCTCAGACAGTTTAAAGAAATCTACATTTCCTCCATTCGTTCTAAGCTTTCTGCTCCGGCCCATTCCGTTGCCAGATACCCCAAACTTAAATTAGATTTTCTTCTGCTTTTCTGCTGCTGTAATCTCCTTCTGCGCCGTTTGCTATTTGCCGTATTCTTCTAAATTATGAAACCATTTTTATTTATTTTATTTTTTTTATATTTTTATCAGAATGTGTCGTTCAAGAGTGCTTTTTGGATACTTTTTTCTATTATCTTTTTATTGCTTGCTCAACGATTATGCAGCACAAAATTCAGAAACCTTTTTTCAAAGATAAACACTATTTTGCTTACTTTCCTCACAACTGATTTTTATACGATGAAGATTTCTGTATGCTTATATTACTTCTCTTTCTACATTATGCGAAATTCTAGATTAAATATAAGTGCTAAGGATATTGAAACGCACTTTTGGTTCTTCTTTATATTGTATATTCACGGTATGACTTTCACTGCAAACTTAATAAAGATTCGAGGAAAATAAGAAGTGATACCCCTAGCCAAACACACAAGCAATGAAAATTTATTTTTATTTTTATCTGAGATAAGGATTCTATTGTATCTTTTAAATGACAGTTATTTTGAAAGCTTCAGTGTTATAAACTATATCGGATTGAGATTATTTCAATAACTGTTATTACATTGTTGAATATTATTTGAAAGTATGCATAATTATTTTGCTTTCTCGTAACATAGTAGAAAATATCTTAATGCAGAATTCTGTATTTAGTATTTAAGATGTTTTAGCTAATGAAAATATGATTTCAGCTGGTATCAGTTTAATTCTTTGCATTTGAAAAAATTATATATTGCTGTATGCATTCGGGTTCTTAATGGACTGAAAGCACGCAGAATTTATGATAGCCTAATAAAATTTATTTTACCAAAAGGAATAATTTAGAGTTCTGGAACTTTCCATAAAAGTACTCGCATAGCTTTTCCACATATCACAGAGCACAACCAGTAGTTACACTTAACTACTAAGAACGTTAAACGTAATGCAATGCAAAACACATCTAAGTGTTTTGTGTAAAAGAGCGAAGCTCACAGAGAGATATCTCAATATTCCGTAGTCGACTGTGAACTGAGAAACTGAGAGGGGATGCTTTCTTTAGTCTTATACAGTTTTCCTCCGGCCACCAAGAAACGTCTAGTATCTTCCATTGCTCGAATTATAGGAAGGCATATAGGATTAAAGTTAAAGATAAAAGCCAGATGCGGTTACAGTTATATATAGGAATCAATGAAATATATTCAGTTAGAGTATCAGGGACCGGACCCAAATGTCGACAACTGTTCGTCAAGTTTCAGGACTTTTAACGATTTCTCGCCAAATTTGAAGGAAACAATTAGTCGCCAAAACTATCGCCAACTTGGTGATATATCGCCAATAAAACCTTTTTTTTTTTTTTTTTTTTTTTTTTTTTTTTGGTAGAGCTTTGTCTATTTTAAGCCTTTCATGCTATATTGCACACACCCACATGTAATTTTCTGTATATTCAATAATTGTCTCGCAAAACACTAACAGATTTTTAACGCTTTTGCTTTTTTACATTTTAGAAATATTAATATAAACATGAAATTATCCCGGAGAATGACACACATTAAAAGTATTGATTGGCTATCTTTGTCTTGGAATGTATTCTTTATTTGTGTTATTGTAAGTACTGTAATTGTAAATACTTTAGGTTATTTCGAAGAAGAAAACATGAAAAATGAGCAATGCCCTCGCCGGGAACCGAACCAGGACCTCTCGAATACGCGCTGAGCGTGCTGACTATTACACCACGAAGGCATGCTAAGAAAGCGGGAGAAATACCTTATGTAATATATGTATTTAATTATGCTTCTCACAAGTCTTTTTGTTATGTATTTAAGAGAAGGGCTGATATTATAAATCCACACAGTAATATTTCCAACAAAGTCGCCTAAAAATATTTTATTGTGACTTATTTTTTGGTAACCTCTTTTCTTAATTTTTGACGCAGTAAAATAATTGCATAGCAAATCTCTATTAGAACATTAATGAACTTTTCTCTTATGAATTTATATTTGGATACATTTGAAACTTGAGAGTTGATACGGCGTTAATTATCACATCATCTCATGTGTGCTCTAATGAAGTAAGTGATTTGCGCTACAGTCTAGAAAGCGTAAGATCTGAGTTTCGAATCCCGACGAGGATGTGGTTGATTGCTGACGTTCCCTCACTTTGAAAAATCTAAGCCTCTATAACTGGTCATAGCAAGAAGTGTTTTTTTTTTAATTTATTACAGAGTGCTTTATTTCTACAAAGAACGACCATACTTGTGTAAATTGAATCCCGAAGCAACAGCTTTCAACGATTTTCTCTGATTTCCACCGAACTATTTAGATTTATTAATAGATAGAAGCAGTTTTCCGAGACATCGAACACTTATTGTATCTGAAGAGTTTTACATTCAAGAGCATATTCCAACGTTACTTGAAAGTGTCCTTCCACATTTGCTGCAGCATTTAATTTAAACCGAAATGCATACATTTATTTAAAAAAGTCAAAGTAGCTACAGGTTTCTTTTACAGATATCGTTTCAAATTCATTAAGCCAATAATGCCTTTATATTAACATATCATTTATTTTTTTTAAATAATTTCTGCGTTATTTAATTTATTTGTATGTATTTTTTACTACTTATCATTATATTACTTTGTTGCCGCATATAGCAGTCAAACAGAATGCTCTTCATATTCGTGTTAAGCAGTTGCTTTAAAAAAAAACCGATTTTGCACACAGTCTAATAAGGATTTAAACCTAATACCCATTCTAACTGAAAACTCAATAAAGTCACTAGATTTAAGTCTTTGATTAGTTTGCTAAAATTGGTTACTAAATATTCCGACACCATTGGCACTGAACAGTAGAGTTTCCTTTTTAATTTGGAGCACATTTAATGCTATTTGTTTGATTTCCTGCGAGTGTAGGCAGATAATTAAATTCCAGTGACTGTCGACGCGGGAGATGCAAGAGACTGACAATAAATGCAACGAAAGCTAAAGTTCAATCTATAATATTGTTCAATCGAATGTCTTTGAATGGCAAGGGAAAGGAGATTGTATTTGTATTTGGATAATTTGCTCATTATTTTACTTCCCGCTTTTTCAACAAAATATGCTTATGAAATAGAAGCATTCTACAATTATTAATTTATTTAATTATTTCTTTTTTGGAGAAACATGAAACATAAATTATGTCTTCAACAGGATCCTGTTAGCTTAACTTGCTACCGTTTGCGTTCCAAGAGCACGCATGGCTAAAAACGGTAATCGTTTATAAACTTAAGTATCGTGCATCAAACGTTTTAATGAAAATAATAATTAAGTGTACGGGACAGATGCTTATTTTTTAACTGTTCAGCTAGTTATTCAACTTTGAATTCGTTCTTCCATTGAGTACATTTTAGTAACCTCGCCTTTCTTGTAGAAAGAAAACATAATTTTTCTTGTGCGTTTTTATTTTTATATCCCGCGTAAATTTCGACACTAAATTATTAATTTTTGTCTGCGTTTACAGGCGAACAAGTGCAAGACTCTTTCACTCTGCAAGAATTCGGAAGTCGCAGTTCCTCCGAAGGAGCACTGTCTTCGCGTCTCACCCTGGCTGAGGCCTGTGGAAGGAGTGGAAGAAGGGGCTACCACAGACTCCAAGGGGAAGCTCCGGCACCGGAAGAATCAACCTCCCAACAACCGCCAAGTCCTTCCAGCCAGCCGTCGACTTGCTCCAGGCTCCCAGCACCCCAGACAGAGCCAGTAGAGTGTAGTTCTCCGAGCTCAAGCACCGAATCTAGCTCTGACTACGAAAGAGACTACTTCGGAGGCTTCACGGACACGGATGACGGTAAGACACTCTCTTAATCAAAATCAATGCCATATGCTCCCACCGCATATTCCATGATACCTCTAGGACTTCTATTAAACGCTTTCCCTCTGATGCCAGATCTGCATGCATAATGAAATCATCCTAATCAGAAAGCTCAATAGAATTAGAGAAGGGGACTAATTCGATTTTGATATAAGATTCCACATGGAGTACCTCTGCATATGGTGGTCTGGCGGACAGGTTCGCATATCCATCTCGGGTAAGGATCGTGTTCCATTCCGAGACATCGGGCTGTTTGTAATGTCTGATGGATTTGGTATTCATTTATTCATAAGACTGATATATCGATATCATTAAAATATTCATAAATGTACGAAATAAAGCCTCAGAGAGGAAATCGCAAAGATAAAGTGCAAAGATAGTTTGCAAAGATAAAGTGGTTCATTGGTTTCCATAGACTTAAAAACGAATGGTTGTAGATTAAAGTTTATTTTCTATTTTAAGTATGAGTGTTAGTCATAAATATCAGTATCTCGTTCCTAAAATTAAAGATTTGGTGCAAATTCTTCCGTTCTTTTTCACCACATACTTCAGCAGTTTAGATAATTTACACATTCCGTATGTATTGACATTTTTAAAATCCTCGTAATATATTATTTTTATATGATATTTAGTTTTATACTCTAAGAGCAAACATTTATTTTTTATGTTATTTCAATCAAAATACGAGAAATGGAAGCAGTATTCTAATGCTGCGCAATGCAAACGCTAACTTGATTTTAGCAAAATTTCTTTATGTTTGAGTTTTATAAACTGGAATTTAGGCTGTTTTTCAAAAGCACATTTCATTGGCGTTCATTATTTTGCTGTTACCTTATGTCTCTTTTTTATTTCATTTTCCATTTTTCTACTATTTCCTTAGATTCATTTATCCCGCTATTCATACAAAAAATCTGATGTGAACACCACCTGACATCCTTGTACGGAATATTAAATTACACGCACTTTTTCTTGCATTACATTTAAACTTATTGGATTGAATTAAATCTACTTCGTCGATAGCGCATACACCACAATAGAATAAATGCACTCTTTAAAGTCCACTATATTTGTTCACCGTAGCCACACTCTGGCGCTAGGTTGACTTAATAGCGCTATGTTTCGTTCATATTACAACTCAGAATGCAGAAAATTTATATCATTTGAAGAATTATCTAATGGTTGCCACATGTTCTATTCAAATACTATAATAAATCTAGAACGATGAATAAAAGAAAATAAGCAAACAAAACAGAAAAGAAAACAGTTTTTCACAGACGATTCAGTATTTCTCATTCAATTAATTCAGTATTTCTCATTCAATTAATTCAGTTCTCCCTTCGCGAGAAGGCAAAAATACATAAAAACTCAAAATATCTATAATAAAAATTACAAAGTAAATCTTAAACACTTATTTCTTCGAAAAAATTCCAGAAAGGATTAAGCATGATTTAGTTCGCAATAATAAATGACGGCGTTATCTTTGTTGTTGCGAAGCTTAGTCCCTCTAGATTGGCAACAAATCTACTATTCTGTTGTTTCAAATGTACACAAACATGTCCGCCATGTTATTTAAAAATTAGACTTAAGCGCACATAAACAGCTTTTAAATTGTTGATAATTCTACAGATATTGCTTGCAGATTTCTTAAAGGCATAAAAACCTTAACCGGAAGATATGAACAACATAATTCAATCATTTTCAAAGCAAAAAATATACAATTTACAAACATATAAGATTAAAGAAACTGAGATCACTGAGCCGGGTAACAGAGTGGATATATATATAAATATATTTATATACGTTTGGTGCGGCTGGTTACAACCAAAATACGAGGTGCACATCTTTATGTTATAGCAGTCCTATATGCAAAATTTCAACGTTCTGAGGCTACTCGTTTTTGAGTAGGAGATACATACACGTACATACGTACAGACACTACGAAAAATCCTCTTCAGAATTAATTTAAAAGCAGTTGTATAATTTTTTGTAGAATTCTATCCTTACGTACAGATTTCACTCAAGACCATCATTAAATTGCATTGGATAGCGGTCAAAATGGATAATTTCGTTGAAATATGCTGCCTAAAACTTTTCGCGATTACAATACTTCCTTTTCATTTCGTGCAAGGAAGTAAAAGTATTACAGTAAGACATAAAATAAAATATAACTGTATAAAGCAAAGATTATTACATATAAAATTTAATCGAAAGTTGCCAATGTTTACTCGAAACAAAATTCAAATGATAACGTGATCATATAAAAAATAGCCCAACTCGTGTATTACCTTAATGCATTTTTTGCTATGCTATTTAGTTTTATGAAGAATGTATACTCTAACAGCCGCATTTTGATAAACTTTTTTTCTGGAAGAGAGGGTATTTTATTTTAATAAAGCAATAATCGCAAGTAATATGTTTATTAAAGCAAGAGCTTATTAGCCTAAATGTGCGTTAGCCCAGAAGGGCTATTTCTCGAAATGGCATTTTGCGTTTTATCTCTAAAAGCGCTGAATTATTTTTCAAATTGCTGCCGCCAAATATAATCTCCCCATATTATATTTAAATAATAAGTTAAATGACGAAGAATCTGCATGAATATATGTATGTTTCTCGCACTGTAAAAAATGACGTATCTAGAACCATCAGATTTTGAATAACGCAATCTTTCACCCGAACATGGGAAGCCCAAATTTTGAATTTGTTTTATTACCTGTTTCATGTTTAAAGCTTTAAGGAATTTTTGATTAACAGAATCAAAGATTTCAAAGCGAGCAATGGTAACACTTTACAGAAAGAAAACATTTTTATCTCCAGTGTGCGAGACTGACTATCGGAAATTTTAAAGATATGTTGTTTTTAAATATTTTGTGAAATTGCCGTTGAATTGAATTTTATGCGGTTTAAGTGCGAAGACCATGATATTTAATAACTAAATTAAACAAGCAAAACGTTAAAAAAAGGTCCCCTGAGGCGTAATATGAAATCTGAAAGATTTCCGTTTTTTTAAACTTTTTTATCGAAATTTATTTTAATGCAATTGAATTATAATTTTAAGATTACCAGCTGCACTCTTCTATGCGTATTTCCCTCCCAACTATCATCTAAATCTATTAATAGATGAGGCGAATAATAATTTTCAAAAGATACTTATTTATAATGTAAAATTCCGTCTATGAATAAAATAGCACGTTTAGTTTTGGAATTCTTTTAATAAACTGCATATCATCGATAAGATTTTGAAATACTCATTTCTTTTTATAGGAATTTATAAAACAATTTAGGTGGTGGTGTGGTGTATTTAATTACGGCAAAGCACACTAGGACTATCTGCCTAAGGGGAGGGATGCCTTCGTGGAGATCTTTCCAAGGCAAACTGGCTCGTATACACGTTACACATGGGGAAAACCACGAAAACGCCCATGCAGCCAGCCCGTTCTCGGGATTCGAACCTCGGACCGAACTACCAGTGTTCAGCGACTTTACCGCTCGGCCGCTGGTGGGCCCTAAAACAATTTAGGAGTAATGTCATGTGACACGATATTGTCACTTTCAGTTTTAATATTGCTTGTTTTATTTTCTAAAATTAAGTACTGCTCTTTGATGCGCGTTCTACAAGATTAATAATCAAAGCAATAGGTTGCATAATCACTATTCAGCAAAATAATTTAGAAATAGGGACTTGAGATTTGAAGTATTTATTTTATTAATTTATATTTATCTTTGTTTCTTCGGTAGTGCTATAAATTATGGAAAAGATGAGATCATACAACATTGTTCTTTCTAAATGACGGAAATTCATTGTTCTTCTATATGGAATTTTGAATTTTATGGCAAATTATCGACTCGTGACAAAAAATCAGTCATTTATGGCAACTATCAAATGAAGTATCTTCCCTGAAATAAATACAGAAAACAAAATCAAATATATATATATATATATATATATGTTATAATAAAAGCAAAGGAAATAACGGAGCAGTGTAGATGCGTGATTAGATCCATATTGAAGAAGAATTTTGATTGCGTAGTATGCTAGTAATGCTAACTTGGTAATATCTAAAGAACTTGGCAGTCGAAGCAGTTTTAATTCCATTTTTATTTCCAATTGATATTTGTGGCCACAATCACTTGGCACTCTAGGCGTGCCTTTCCACAGAAGATTTACATTTTTGATGTTGTTGGGATAGAAGCAAGCCAGCGAAATTACATCATAGCACAGTAGAGAGCTAAAGCTGAAGTGCGTAGTTATGAAAGATGGAAGCACGGCAAAGAGAAAAGTTTTGGTTTACAATTATTACGTCATCAGAGCTGCGCGGGCCATAGAGTGTTCTAGAAATGACGCAATGCAGAGAAGTTATTACGATTTTAGAATAGAGAGGAAGAATTAATGTTTATAATTATATTATAATTCTAATTCATACATTTTTATCTTACATATTAATAATTGTAAACCAAAACTTTTCTTTTTGCCGTGCTTCCATCTTTCATAACTACGCACTTCAGCTTTAGCTCTCTACTGTGCTATGATGTAATTTCGCTGGCTTGCTTTCTATCCCAACAATATCAAAAATGGAAATCTTCTGTGGAAAGGTACGCCTAGAGTGCCAAGTGATTGTGGCCACAAATATCAATTGGAAATAAAAATGGAATTAAAACTGCCAAGTTCTTTAAATACTACGCAATCAAAATTCTTCTTCAATATGGATCTAAGCACGCATCGACACTGCTCCGACTTTTCCTTGTTTTGCTCTTATTATGACATATATATATATTATATAACCTAAATTATTAAAATATTTTGAATTAGTTTTGATATATGGTATCAGTAGTGGGCACAGCCCGACCCGCCTAACCAAACAAGTTGGTCTCATGGTCATAACAGGCCACTCCCAAAATATTATGGCATATTATATAATTATATACAATATAAATATATAATATATATAAATATAAATATATAATATATATATAATATA